TGGGCAAAGTCCTAGCCTTAAGCAGGACCGTCCTTCCTTCCACCCCCTTCCCCACCTGGCCAGCATCCCGCAATGGTTCTTCCTGAATAGATGCAGAGTAGAGCTGTAGGGCCCTTACAGGAAGAGAAGAAAAAACACCAACACTATAATTACAAATCCTGAAGTGAAGAATCACATTAGCAAGGGCAGGTTCTGCTCTTGTCTGATGAATACCGATTAGATCTATTCCCTGGAGGAATGGAAGATGACAGTGCTTCAATCAGAGCAAGTGAAGAACGAGAGATCACGATACACCCGTAAATCTGAATTGCAGATGTAGTAGGGGAGTTGGAAGACATTCCTTGAAAGAGTTTGGTGTTTTAAAAAAAGCATGCCTTCCCATCCCCAGTATTCTTTCAGCTTCTACATAGCACAGAACTCAACTCTGATGGGTGGAGCAGATCTCGCCCTGATGTTTCCAGCTCCTCTCCAAATTCTTCTCCCAAGCAGATGCCTCAAATGTTTTCCCCAACACTGCTAGTTTATGAAGTCTTGTGCCCTGCTCTCCCTGACCTTAGCAACCTGTCAAGTTCTGATAAACTCTCTGGCTCAGAGAAACATTCAGAGGAGGAAGAGGCTCTGTCCACTCATCCATCATCTGCTACTCCAGGCCAGAGGACATGGGTTTACCAGACTCTTCAGTCACAGAGGATACCCCTCAGCTGCAGTCCTCACCACCTCCATGTCATCAGAGCCAAGACTGCAGAAAGGGCCAATGACCCTGTAAGAAGTAGTCAGTTCCTCTGGAGGGCTGCAGCTGACAGCAAGTCGAGAAGTGTCAGCTTTCAGAAGGCCTTTGTGTGTTGCTGAGACAGCCGCTCTTTGTGGGTCACCTTCAGCCAGGGATCTGTCCAAGGTCCTAACAGATTTTACCTTGACCTGTATTACCATGTCTGGTGGAAGCATTGTCTTATCTTGCCGTGCCAGACAGGTCTGCCCAGACAATTGCACCCTGGCAACTCAGCCTCCCCTGGGAGTCCAGCGCCAAGTTAGGACAGGCCCCAATCCGAAAGCCTTGCAAGAGAGTTGTGTGTGGTCAATCCATCTCAAAGAATCCACTGCTGGAATTTTCTCACATTACGTTCCTTTAGCTGCCTGAATCAGAAGCCTTTTCAATACTGAAGACCGTTCCTAGACCAAAGGGATCCCCAGCTAACTGCACCATCTAGTGTTAAATCAAGGCAAGCACACTGTTCAAAGCTGTTGGACTTGCATCTTTTCAGATCCAGTCCGAAGGCAGAGTCGATGAGACCCATTAGCTAAACCCCTGCAACTTGGGCCAGAACTATATTTAATGCAGAAGCATGGAACCAAAGGTCATGGACTGGATTTAGCCTCTAACTGTAAGTCTGCTTCTCAAAATACAACAACTGGGCCATGGTATTACTTTCAATAAATGAATAATACCAGTAACTTGTGTTTTTGGAAGATACAGGGAAGAGTGCAGTTAAGAAATCTTGGTCTCTGGACTTAATAGATCTTCCGGCAGCCCTCCAATTCTGCTAGACGGTATCTATTACTTAATTTCCTTTAAAATGTGGCAATTTTGTTGTGAAGCACAGGAGGTCCCTCCTGCTCATCCTGCTAAATGGGAACCCAGCCTTCTGCCCCAAAGCCCACTCTTGATGGTACCACATGTCTCCAGCATCCTTCCCTCTTATTCTGCATCTGTCTGCCCCTGCATCCTGCCTTGATGGTCCCCATCATCCCTTTGCTGGAGTCTCCACTGAAATTGACATGCACGTGGCAGGCATGTCGTGAGCGGAGCCGGCTGGTGCCAGAGGTCAGACTAGATAGCCCGGGAGACCCCTTCTGACTCGCTCTGTTTCTATGTTTCTAAATAGGCTCACAGAACAGCTCAGTGTTTCTGCTGCCTGTTAATATCCCAGCCTCAGTACCAAGGCCAGTCCAAAATGGCGAGCAACTTATCCAAATGCAGACCCTCAACAGGCATTCTCAGGTGCAGACTCCCAGCTGGAACTGAATCAAGGAATTTAGGTGAAGCTTAGCCTGTAGCAGGAGGAAAATGTTCTCCGTAGCAGGCAATGGTAGAAGAACATTAACCCAAGGACCTCTTTGGGTTTAAGCCTGGGCCTAGCCAGTCCTGGGCTTCTACCATCTCCTTCCTACCACCTGATGTTGCAGACCCCTATTTGTTTCTGCCAGTGCTGCAGCTGGGGCTTGACTCTGGGTGGAAAGCCAACTCTGTAGGAATTGTAATGCACTGCATGAAGTTTACTGTTGTGAGCTGCCTTGAGTCCCAGTCCCTGGGAACAGGCAGGATATAAATACATGTAAATATAATATAATATTATAACATAAAGTCCCCCCTCCAGCAGCCCAGAGATGATGCAGACAGCCACACAGAGACCCAATATCAGCATCTGGACTAGCACAAGCAGGCAGGAGACCAGCAAGGCTACTTGCCAAACACCCTTTGTTTCTTCTAATTCATCAAACACACTCACACACTCTGGGCGAAGGGCCGGCAGGCATGTGCATGACAACAGATGTGGATGATGATGATGATGATGATGATGATGATGATGATGATGATGATCAACTCTGGAAATCTATTACCCTTTTCTACAAACAAAATGGTGCCTATTCCCAAGGAACAGTACTTATTCTACAAACAAGATGGTGTTTATTTCCCAAGGAACAGTACTTATTCTACAAACAAGATGGTGTTTATTCCCATAAAAGCTCCATTTTATGCCTGAAGACCTGATGGTGCAATGACTCAAGGGAGTTCAAGATGCATAACCACACATGCGTCTTTAAATCAAGTTTTAGCAAACTCAGTTTTGCTCGTTTGGCTGCAGCATTGCTGGGAACGCAGAAGCAATTATAAGCCGAGAGCAGTAGCGGAGGGGAAGCAGGGCAACGTTAAGGGTGTGCTTGATACCAGAAGACATATCATAGCTGAAAAGGGCAGGAGGTTCCCCAAGAGACTATGATGTCCCTGTGTAAAATGGCAGGGCTGAGTTAATGTCACTGTGCCTGAACCCACACACTGTCCTTGCTAGCTGAATCTTAGCCCAGGCCATGACGTTGTCCGTTGTGCTCTGATGGTCAGGAATGTTTGACTGAGGGCAGCTCCCGCTCTGGGTTTGGAAGGCGCTTGGGCAAGACACCTTCAACACAGCCACTCCTTCAGCAGGTCCGCCTATTCCCCACCCCTGCCTCCTGCTGCTCTTGCTCCTTATTCCCTTCCTCACCCTCATCCTCATGGGCAAGCAAGGCGGTTGCAGCACCTCCTTCACTGTACTTCCGCTGGCTGAGTCAGAGCAGAAGGTGGGTTAGCGAGCAGGTGACCATGGCAGAGAAGAGCAGCTTCAGAGGGCTCGATTTGGTGGGTCCCTCTGGGGACGCTGGTCCTCGGCAGGTGCCCAACCATAGTTGGGGAGACTTGGCTCAGCATTACTGCAAGCAAGAAGGATCCTAGAACTGTTATAGATCACAAGCTGAATATGAGTCAACAACGTGATACGGCTGCAAAAAGGGCAAATGCTATTTTGGGCTGTATTAACAGAAGGATCACTTTCAAAACATAGGAAGTTCTAGGTTCCCCACTACTCAGCACTGGTTAGGCCTCCTCTGGGCACAAACAAGGTGGAAAGGGTTCACAGGGGGACAGCAAGGATGGTCCAGAGGCCAGAAAAAGCGCTAAGCTCTTCACAAGTGCTTTGAAAGGCTGTCACAAAGAGGAAGGCCAGGATCTCTTCCTGATCACCTCAGAGTGAAGGACATAGCAAAACAGGTCCAAGTTATAGGAAGTCAGGTTCTAGCTGGACGTCAGGACAAGAGATGGTTGGAGTCCTGCAGTAAGCAGGGGGCTGGACCCAACGACCTTCTTGTGCCCTTCCAGCTCCACCCTATGATTCAAGGCCCAGAGCCCTATGGACCATGCCTAGCCTTGATCCCAGCACTGACTCTCAGCATAAAGATCAGGCCTGGCATCATTTCAGGCCATTGCCACAGGCCCCCAAACCCAGCAGGACTCTATTTAGTTCACTTCTCCTGGGCTCCCTTTACTTAGCACCAGTGGGAAACGGGTAACAATGACTTTTCTCACAGTGCGCCTCACATAGTGTTTCTTCTTGGCATTGTTGGAAACTTAAGGGAAAACTCCTAGCATCAGAGTAGCCACAGACAGGTAAGTTTGCCAAGGGGATCCACAGGTGCAGGGGAGTCAACTGGAGAGTACAACCTGGAACCCAGAATGATAGGATGCCAAGTAGTTATCCTGAAGTTTAACCAACCAGCAAGGAAGCAATCCTAGTTTTCAATGCCACCGTATGCCATTGAATGATACCGTATTTCATGGAGTATTAGCATCCAACCATAGGGTGGAACATCGTTATGAGAAAGAAAACAGTTTTATTGCCAAACAAAATGTTCTGTACCAAAAAGTACAGAAAGATGACAACAGCAAGCCTCTTTGCAAACACAGACTAAACACCAGCAGCCACGTTTTTCTTCCTCCGTGAAATCTTGGAAATTCTACAACACAGGCAATTATGGCCCCTCTATTGCCAAACCAGCAGACAAAGGTCTTGCCCAGTCTATAACTACTGCAAATCTCAGATTTATCTGGAAACAAGGACAAAGAGGGATTGAACTGATGCAGTCCCATGAAGGGCACACAACTTACTGCCCTAGATGCTTAGCCACATTAGAAAAAGGTCTTCCTCACCCAAACTCAGCTTTTATATGCACCAGGGCCTGTTGCACATAAACACCAACCTTTCTGAGCACACAAACACAAGGCCGATCATTAAACCACTTCCAGGAAGAGATTAGCATGAGCACAAAGGTGCATCAAGTAACAGCTTAAGGAGAGAACCACACAGGTTTTTAGAAGCTCTCTTTGCTTCTCCTGGTTTGCTCTCTTCCCTTTTCCTTTTTTCTTTAAAAAAAAAGACACATAAGACATGGCAATAAGAAATATTACTGACCTTCAACGGGGAGATGTGAGACTGCAGGACATATCCGTGGACGTTTTCTATCTGTGACAAATTCTTTTCGGAAATGTGAACTAGTTCTGGCCCCCTCACTTCATGGGTTAAACGAGGTAAAGTATGATCATGTGGCACATCTTCATCTTGGTAGCGGTACTTCTAGGAGTCAGAAGAAGAAATAAGAATGTTAAGAAGTGGGAAGAGTAAATCTTGTATTGCGGTCATGATGCGGGACCCGGAGAACGCCGTGTTCGGCCTTTCGTGACGCAGCCTGCTGCGTGCTGGACTGCAGCTCACATTCTTGTTGGGGCAGATGGGAGTTGTAGTCCAGCACACCTGGAGGGCACAGCCAGGTTCAGAAAGGTTGAATTAATGCTTTTTCTGAATGTTTTAAATGCTGTCAGATACTCCAACTACAACCCTGCAATGTAGCCCTCTGCATGTTTGAAAGTGCAAGTTCTTTCCAGCTCCATCTAATAGGGTTGGGGTCCAAGAATTTGAGAGTAGGGGGCTAAATGCAAATGCCCATACACAGCCACACACTTATACACATCCAATAAAGGCACTGCAGTGAAACATGCGAGCAAACTTGGGAGAGGTATCAGGATATATGGGGAACAGAGAAATCAGAGGCAATTGGGTTAAGGGTCCACATTGCTATACAAGAAATGGGCATATTTTGGAACATGCTCATGAAAATGAGCCAAAACAAATTGTTTATACATCTATACTAGTAGGTACAGCTGTTTCCAGCACACAGAACATTTTGAACCTGCCTGTTATATAACTGTTAAAGACAAGGAGTGTATTCAGGAAAAAAAAAAGATTTGACAACACTAATTTAGCATCACAAACAGGGCTGAATACACAGGAATTCAGAACCAGGATTTTCAGAGCTGAGTACTTAAAGCTCTGGGCCTGGACGGACAAATTAGTTTTTCTGTCTCCCACACACGTTATCTTTTTATTAAAAAGAAAAAATCTTGAGTACTTCCCACCACACTTATGAAGAACCTGGTGGATTTGGGTACATTCTCATCAGAAAAGGAACCAAGCAAAATTTTTGCTTATTCCTAATTCAGTTTCCAAAAGCACAGTAAAACTTGTCTGCACAACTGACCATGTGTTTCACACACACACACCCCTTCACAAAAGGACAGGTGGATGAGAAATGATAATTATAAATCAGTGCCTACTACCCGCAGGGCATCCTGTTCTGCCAGCGCACAACAGATATTTTAAATTCCCTGTAATTACCTCTAATGGAGCAGCACAGAATGTGCCCCTGCGTGCTGATAATAAGAATGTGGTCGAGCTTTAAAAAGCAACACTACGAATTTCAAAAATGAAGACCCCTGTTTGTTTGTTTTATAACGTGAAAGGGAAAGAGCAGCATTGCAACGCCATGTCACTGTTCTTTGGAGCCTTTTGGAAGCCCAGCAGTTGGCTCAGGGTTAAAAAGGTAGCCAAAGCAAGAACAGACCAATCTGGAAGTTTCTTGGTGTTTTGTTTGTTTTTTTAATCAATGCATCCTCCAACAGCATTCAGCCCCAAATCCTTCAACTGCATTTGAGAAGGCCAAAAAACAAGTTTGGTGAGTCATGTGAAAAAGGGTTCCAGGAAGTTAGGGAGCAAAGGGAATAAATGGGGGGACTGGAGTAGGATGTTGATCTGGTGGATCATAAACACTGTATAATTTCTGAGCCAGTTTTAACAGTACCAGAAATGCTGGTTGCCATTTCCTCTTACACTGGAGATTAAGAGATCACAGGATTCCCTTCTCCGATCACCAAACTTCCCATCCAACTTAATTTACCCTCATTAGATCACCAATTATCAGACATGCATATGAGCTTAATATCATGCCTGACTGTGCTTCTCATTTTTTTGGACTGCTAATTCTATGATCTGAAATGCTTTAACTGATCATGGTCCTGGGTCTTTGGTGGCCTCTCCCAGCCATGATCGCCTTGGAAATCTGCGACCTTCCTCCAAGTGTCAACAGTGTGAGGAACAAGGGGGGAGGTTGTGACAGCCACAAGGGAGAAGGATTTTTCAGTGGTGGCCTCCCAACGAGTACCGAATCTGCCGTCCTTTTGGTGCCACGTTAAGGTGGGCCTCTTCTCCGAAACCTCGAAAGCCCCACTTGGCCGCACAGGGGCTAGAAGGGGGAAACACCCGTGCTTCTTTCTTTGCTACTGCTTGCTATTGCCTGTTTTAATAATCTGCGTTTTGCTGTTTTAAACTTTTTAATTCTCCTCTATTTCATGACATTTTATTGTATTTTTATCATCTGTTTTTATGGGCTGTTATAAGCCACCCTGAGAGGTATAGAAATAAGCAACAATGACCATTTGTTTTCAGTGTTGTTAACTGAGGCACCTTATATTCTGTCTTTAAATGCTTCCACAGTGGCATTTTCTATTCTAAATCCTTAGGCTGGAAACCATGTAGCGATATCTTTTCAGTTATAGCCTGGTAATCCACAGATTATTGAAACGCATAAACAAAAATTATCTGCATGGAGCATTCATGTTTACAGGCAGAATACAAGACCCAGGGAACAAGATGCGTCTTCAAACTTCATCAAAGAGATACTGGACCTCTACCGACACCTGGATGAACCTACCTGAGCATTTGTTCTGGCCAACCAGCAGAAGCCATTTGGCTGGAGCTAAAGGAGACAGAGCTCTTTTAGTGGTGGGCTCATACCTTTGGATCTCCCTCCCCAGGAAGATGTACGGACTTATCACTGCTGGGGGGGGGGGGGGCAGGGCAGTTCGCTTAAAGATATATACATTCCATTCTGGTGTTTGTGTGTGTATGTGTGTGTGTAATTGTATATTCTGTATTTGCAATATTGCAAGCCCCTTTTTGAGGGTAGGTTACCCATAAAAAGCGAATGCAAAACATAATATAACAAATACATAATCACTGGGGGGGAAAAGATGCCACCTTGGCCAGATCTTTCTCCCCCTGTAACACTCCTCTTAAATTCAACATTTTTTGGTCTTCTCAATTCGTTTCACCCTGTACAAATTGCAGCGCCCGCTTGAACACCCTTGCCTTTTGCTCCGCTTTGGTGTGGTTACAGTCCTGGAACACAAGATGGCAGAACAAACCATCACGTACAATAGATTACAGTTGGACCACTTCTATAAATAAAGAATGGGAAGGTGGAGGGAAAAGAAGAGCAGCCTGTTATTCAATAAAAATTAAGCTGCTGCTTTTCCTTAGAACATTGGCTAACTCAGCACACCTATACTGAGCTCTCTCGCTCTCTCTCATATGGCTGCAATATCTTTAATAAGCACATTTATAACAGCCCTTCATGTGGGCAATCAGTCATATTGTCACAAGGCACGGTCCTTCTCCTGAGTAAACAGGCTGCTTCGGACTTCCTTCGCACAGTGCTTTATTGTCACCCTCCACCCCTTGCTGGGTTATCTCCCCATTCCCACTGGATGGTCTGTTGTCACCCCATCCCTCTGGGGCAACTCTCCTCATTCCGCAGGCATTCCCTGGGTTTGATCTGATACTGTCGTTTGCTGACTTCCCCAAACTGCTTTATCTTCACTGTCTGAACTCCCATTCCCATCAAATCCATCAATAGTCCACAGCCCTTCTAGTCATTTTTCCCTGTGTGTGCATACAACACATAGGTAACAAAATGGTTTCAAACAACTCTTTAGAAGTACCATGTATAAAACACTCCTGCGAACCTATAGATTTTATTTAAGGTGAGCATCAACATGAATTTCACATACTGACAAAGAACGTAACACCTTGTTTTGCATGGTATTCTTCTATTTATGCCCAGTTAGTATTTTCAAAAACTGAATGCTTTGCTTTGTAAATTCCTATAGGGTTCCATTCCACCATGAACATTCTTGAAAAGAATGAAACTTTTAAAGAGGGAAGATCTGGCTTTTGCAATCTCTCTGTATAACTTCAGGCCTATTTGTTGAGTTCTGTTGAAAGTTGGCCTTTTCTACTCAGATTAGACTCCTATCCCTGGTCAGTTTGGAAGCTTCATGCTTGGATCCTCTCAGTAAAGGGATTACCTTTGATTCTTGGAATAACAAAACAGATAGGGTACCTCCTACAGTTACCACAGTAAGAGAAGGGTGCTTTCATGCCAATTGTGGTTGGATTGATTTTTACTGTAAAACTAACTTGCATTCTGCCTTGGGGTCCTTGCAAAGAAAGAAAGGTCTGGGAACTTCTGCCTGAAAGGGAGATACCTCACCACAGAGATAAACCCCATCTAGCATTGCCAAAACAAACCAATAAAACTGGTTTCAGGTTGGCAGCAGTGGGGAAACCCCTGAAAATGTTTGCTAGCCTTAAGAAAAATATCTTTGGCTTCCCTTGAAGTTCCTCAGATATTTGGTCCAAATTTGGTTGCCTCTCTAAAGCCAATAACTCAGCTGCTGCTTTTTAACACACTAGTTGCTGCAAGCTTTTGCTCTTTTATCTCTGATGTAGCATTTTTGTGGTAATTTGTTGGATTTTCATGTGTACTAGAAACTGGCATCTTGTACATATTAATTCTGTTGTACCGTTACTTTCATAAATTAGAAAAACAAACCCTATCTATTTTTTGGTCTGATAAATTCTGACCGTTATCTCCAAAAATACCCAATTCTTTTACTACAGAGGTCCAATCTCTTTCTCTGCTGGAAAAATTATTAAAAAGTCCCAGATATGAACATACTATCTATTTATCAAAGTCTCTCGAAAAGAAACAAGAGTGCAGTTATAATAAGTTCTACTCAATATACAGGAGGTTAACGATAGCATGACATTATGCATCTTTGCTCACCAAGATCCCAGATTAATGGAATGCAAAACCGGGATGCACTCTAAATTAGTCAATATAATTTAAATATTGGAGAAATATGACACTGATTCTATGTGCAATCCTAAGAAGATTGCCATAAAGTGACCACCACTATACAAACCACAGCCAGGAGAAAGATTCACTACTCCTCAGGGGACCGTTGCGTGTTCTCCGTGTGGCTGAAAAGCCAAGCATTTAGCCAGGACTCAGGTGTCCAGAGAAGGTTAGCCTAGCATCAGTGATGCATTTCTTGAATATGTCCAGGCTTCATTACTGGAATGCCCTGCATGTTGGGCTGCCCTTGAACACAGTTCAG